GCAATGTCTGAAATGGAGGTACCGAAAGCAACTCATTATCTGAGCTGATGAAAGCAAAGTGGTTTTTATAGCTTACAGCACAACACTGGTCTAAACGGCTTGTAGGCATGAACAAAGCAGAACAACGCAACACATAAAAAATACAAAGCTAGACATACGTCAAAAGGTAAAGTCACAACCCAAAATAAGTAAATATATTTTCAACCTATATGAAAAGGCAGGAGACTACTTAAATATTAACGTCCAATAACTCACCTACAGGTGAAAGTCGAAAAATTAGTATATCGTGCAAAAGTTCATTTATTTCAGTAATGCAACTTAAAAGGTGAAACTAATATATGAGATAGACTCATTACATGCAAAGCAAGATAGTTCAAGCTGTGATTTGTCATAATTGTGATGATTATGGCTTACAGCTCGTTATAAACCCCAAATCCACAATCTCAGAAAATTAGAATATTGTGAAAAGGTGCAATATTCTCGGCTCAAAGTGTCCCACTCTAATCAGCTAATTACGCCATAACACCTGCAAAGGGTTCCTGAGCCATTAAATGGTCTCTCAGTCTGGATCAGTAGGAATCACAATCACGGGAAAGATTGCTGACCTGACAATTGTGCAGAAAACCATCACTGACACCCTCCATAAGGAGGGAAAGCTTCAAAAGCTAATTGCAAAAGAAGTTGGATGTTCCCAAAGTGCTGTATCAAAGCACATTAATAGAAAGTTATGTGGAAGGGAAAAGTGTGGAAGAAAAAAGGTGCACAAGCAGCAGGGATGACCGCAGCCTGGAGAGGATTGTCAGGAAAAGGCCATTCAAAAGTGTTGGGGACTTTCACAAGGAGTGGACTGAGGCTGGAGTCAGTGCATCAAGAGCCACCACACACAGACGGATCCTGGACATGGGCTTCAAATGTCGTATTCCTCTTGTCAAGCCGCTCCTGAACAACAAAAAACGCCAGAAGCGTCTTACCTGGGCTAAAGAAAAACAGGCCTGGTCTGTTGCTCAGTGGTCCAAAGTCCTCTTTTCTGATGAGAGCAACTTCTGCATCTCATTTGGAAACCAAGGACCCAGAGTATGGAGGAAGAATGGAGAGGCACATACTGCAAGATGCTTGAAGTCCAGTGTGAAGTTTCCACAGTCTGTGTTGATTTGGGGAGCCATGTCATCTGCTGGTGTTGGTCCACTGTGCTTCATTAAGTCCAGGGTCAACGCAGCCATCTACCAGGAGATTTTGGAGCACTTCATGCTTCCTTCCGCAGACGAGATTTATGGGGATGCTGACTTCATTTTCCAGCAGGACTTGGCACCTGCCCACACTGCCAAAATGACCGTGGGATTACTGTGCTTGATTGGCCAGCAAACTCGCCTGACCTGAACCCCATAGATAATATATGGGGCATTGCCAAGAGAAAGATGAGAGACATGAGACCGAACAATGCAGAAGAGCTTAAGGCCGCTATTGAAGCATCCTGGTCTTCCATAACTCATCAGCAGTGCCACACGCTGATAGCTTCCGTGCCACGCCTCCTTGAGGCAGTAATTGCTGCAAAAGGGGCCCAAACCAAGTACTGAGTACATATGCATGCTTATACTTTTCAGAGGTCCAATATTGTTCTATGTACAATCCTTGTTTTATTGATTGCATGTAATATTCTAATTTTCTGAGATTGTGGATTTGGGATTTTCATGAGCTGTAAGCCATAATCATCACAATTATGACAAATCACGGCTTGAACTATCTTGCTTTGCATGTAATGAGTCTATCTCATATATACGTTTCACCTTTTAAGTTGAGTTACTGAAATAAATGAACTTTTGCACAATATTCTAATTTTTCGAGTTTCACCTGTAATAGTGGTGGGGATCCAGTATCCTACAAAATAGGCATATGAAAAGATACCGGTGGTATAGGACCAACTCTCCTAGATTGTAAGCTCTAACAATTAGGGCCCTCTGTTTCCTCTTGTACCAAATTGTATTGTAACTGTAATGTCTACCTTCATTTTGTAAAGCGCTGCACAAACTGTTGGCGCTATATAAATCCTGTATAATAACTGAAAAAAGGGGATAGCATAGCTCAGGGGTGTCAAACTGGCGGCCCTCCAGCTGTTGCAAAACTACAAATCCCATCATGTTTCTACCTTTGGGAGTCATGCTTGTAACTGTCAATCTTGCAATGCCTCATGGGACTTGTAGTTTGGCAACAGCTGGAGGGCCGCCAGTTTGACACCCGTGCCCATAGCTTATTGAAGTCCAAAGTTTTTATTGTAGCCAAAAAAAAGATACGTTTTGGGGTTTTTTGGTACTTTGCTACAATAAAGAACTATAGACTTTTGTAAGAAATGCTGCATGGATCCTTTAAATGATAACTTCACCTTTTAGATAAAAATAATAACTACACTTTTTTTGCAGGTAAAAAAAAAAAAAAATGTGCATTTATTTATTATTATTTTGTTTACAGAAGCCTGGAAAGCAATGCACCAGCGATCAGTAGATCGCTGATGCCATGCATGTCTCCTGCAGACCTGTCAGAACATCTGCTTGCCTGTATGGGATGTACGAGCAGATATTCTGGCAGAAAGCTGCAATGAACTACCATGGTGCTCCACAGCGCTGTGGAAATTCATTGAAAACTACAAGCAGACAGCCGCTAAGGCTGCCGGGACTAGCAGTTGATTTATTCACGGACGTCTGTGAATGAATGATGCGACCATGTGGGCGTAGCCCCGCACGGCTTTCCAATTTGACAGATAGCGTTGGGTAGAAGTCTCCTGGTACTGTGTTTCACAGGGGGGGGGGGGGGGGGGGGGGGGGGGGGGGGGGGGGGACAGCTGCAGCTATGGGAAAACGTTACATAGTCCACCCTAAAAACGGGTGTAACATGTTCCCAAAGGTGAATATATCCTTTAACCTCTTCACGCCGGTGCTTCCCGGCCCTTTAAGGGGTTTCAGACGCCAGGAGGTTTTAGGGTTAAAGGGTCATGCGACCACAGTGATTCGCTGTCACATGATTGGAAAAGGTCCCGATTGCAAAAGGGAGATTGGGACCTTTCCATGAGCTACCAACGTATGTGCTAGGAGCGTGCAGGGCTCCCAGCACACAATTCCTACCAATGATGGGGCACAGTTTATCCTAATGATGCCAACAATGGGGCCCAATAACACCAATGTTGAGGCACAATTCCTCCCAATAACACCATTGATGGGGCACAATTTCTCTCACTGACACCACTTGAGCCCCATCGCAATCCAGCGATGTGAATGACAGCCTCGGCTGTCCGGGTATCTGCCTCCTCATTGGCAGAGACAGATAAGGGGCATTGTTGACTCCCACTGATGCCAGGACATTTTCTGCTGCCGATGGCCATGGTCTGACGCTGCTAAAGACTGAAGGACAGTAAATTGGCCCCTTATTTATAAAAGTTTGGAGACCCCTGTACTAGAATGATAATGCTCTCTAACTGTACTATATCTATGAAGGAGCAGTTTTATCATCCTAGAACAGGAAGTATTTGACTATAGAACCTCTCCCTCCCCTTCTACAAAACATAACAGAGGTGTTCTGTAATCCAGTGAGATAGCTGGAAAGAGTCCTAACTGAATAGCACAGGTGGATAGCACAGAAAGTAGCACAGGATCAACATGTATTTTTTTGCATTTAAAGCAGCAGTAAACTCTTGCATTAAAAATAAAATAAAATTCTCCCTCCAAGTTAAAGCGTTGCATGTGCAGCTTGCCCTCAAGGGTCTGTTCTGTCAGCAGATGGACTGGGGACAGTATAAGGGGAGGATCAGATAAGGCAGGATCAAATATCCTTTTTACACAATGTGGAGGATTAACCCCTTAGGTTCCACAGTTAGTATAACAAGCATGCTTTACTGCATATACAGACTGATTTTACTGCTGTGGGTTTAGTAACACTTTAAAGGGCATAATGTGGTAGTATGCATCACATGCTAGCACATTATGACAGACTTACCTTAAACTGAAGAACAGCAGCGTGTTGTCACACCTGAGAGGGCTTCCATCTTCACCCGCCTTCCTTCTGGGTTTGCAGGCTCCAGCCATTTGAACGGCTAAGCCGCAATGATGTCCACATGCGCATAGGAGTCATGGCCGCGGCGCAGAGCTCTTAAGGAATGGCATGCGTATGCTGTCCCTTCAGAGTGCATGAGCCGGTGATGTCACCAGCTGCAGAAACAGTGAAGATGTCCTAAACGGTGCAATGTTTACTGTAAGTGTTATTATAAGTGTCCAAGCATTGTTTACTGCCGCTTTAAGAAAAATGAAACATTTTCAATGGTATTTTCAATAATCCAAAAGGCAGCAAAGACATCCACTGTTCGGGCCTCCATACAATTTAAGAAGAGGTTTTGCATTAAAAGCGGATCACCAGCCAAAATATTGTAGAGAGTGAGGAAGGGTCGTCCTTTTTAGTGTTCTCCCATTAACCACCAAGGAGATTTCCCCTCACATCCTCTTCTGGTAACACCTAGAGCAGGGGTGTCAAACTGGCGGCCCTCCAGCTGTTGCTAAACTACAAGTCCCATCATGCCTCTGCCTTTGGGAGTCATGCTTGTAACTGTCAACCTTGCAATGCCTCATGGGACTTGTAGTTTGCCAAAAGCTGGAGGGCCACCAGTTTGACACCTGTGCCCTAAATAATGGCTGTGAGTTCCACTTCTTTATTCCCCTCTCTGTACTACATTCTCCATATAGTTGTTTTAATATCTAATTGGGAGGTAGCGAGATTGTTACTAGTGGGTTCTCTAAAAGGAATATATGAAGATTATAGCCAAGGCAAAACAGGAATTTCATCCCACAGCAAATTATAGGTGCCATTGGGTCTGGTGGGGGGAGTTCTCCCAACAAGTCAGACAGAAAAAAAATTCTTCTCTATTCAAACAATGTAAAAAAAAAAAAATATATATATATATATATATATATATTCAGTTTTGGCTGGAGTTTCACAAAGTTTATATCACAGACACAACTTACCACTTAATCTTTTGAACCTCTGTTTAGCAGCTGCTCGCTCTTTGGCGTCAAAATACCAGACTGTCAAAGCATACCTGTAATGGAAATATAAATGTGATTCTGTGGTTGGGTCTCCCATTAATCAAGAATAAAAGTTGCCAGTACAAAAATTCTGATACCAAATGTATATACTGTACACAACAAAAACAAAAAGTGCTCAGCTAAACGCAAAATATAATCACAGTGATTTCTAAACACAGTGCAAAAAATCAGTGAAAGATTCCAATGCACTTGTACAGTGTCTGCAAAGAAATTGGTGTCAATTGTCCATATTTACCAATCTAACACATTGTGATGTGCATAAAAATTCCGCTTAATTACTTGTGACCACTACAATGTGTAGCAATGTTCAATATGTGATGAAGTCAGCGGGAAAATCCTGTATGCATCCAGCAGTGATCCAACAATCAACAAAACTGCTTACCAGATCCTCTGATGTCATCACGCATCGCAGTCATCAAAAGAGTTATCTAAGCTGGTCCACATTTTTTTTTTTTTTTTTTTTTAAAGATAAGTGGTACCACTTCATCTTAAAAATGGGAATGAGCCCTTTATAAAGTGAATTTTAACAAGATCTTGCATTTAGCGCTGCACTTTTTGGTTTTGTTGTATATACTTGTAATGTAGAAACCCATTACAGATCCTGACACTTCTACATCAAAGCGTCATATGAGCCAGGGCTTACCTGATGGCATAGGAAGGTTGAACCTCATGTGGATTGCGACGGTCAGACCAGAAAAAAAGCAGTCGGTCAAAGAGTGGCTCCACATCTGCCACCTCTGAGCCGCCATCAGGGAAAATTCGCAGAATTCCCCCATGAACCTGCAACAAATACAAAGGGAGGTTATAGGGTGAATCAGAACTCCTCCATGATAGAATTTTAAATAAATAATCCCTTATAGCTAAACTGATATGAAAGAACATATAGAAGACTAAGGAAAACCAGACCTAAATAACAGCAAGGTGATAGATATCAGACTTGGGTCATTTTAAAAGTTCGATAGGGAGGCATACATACTAGTGTGATTTACTGGAACAGAAAACTCCAAAGCCCAGCGTTGTTCACACTGGACTTTAAAGCGAAGTTCCACCCAGGGGGAAGTTCCACTTTAATGCTTCATCCCCCGCTCCCCATTAACGATTGGCACCTTTGGGGAGCAGGTACCCGAATTTGACAGGTACCCACTCCCACTGCGATCGCCTAGGCGATCGGAAGTGGAAGTTGTCCTCCCTCCCCATAGTCTTCTGGGACAAGGGACAGATCCCAGAAGACTATGAGGCCATTCACAAAGTGCAGCACTTCTCACGCATGCGCAGTGGGCACCCGGCTCTGAAGTCTCAAGCAGTCACAGCCGGGTGCCCACACTATAGATGCCGGCACCAGAGAGAGAAGACGGCTGGTCAAACCAGCGGTGGTGAGGACACCACTGGACTGAGGGACAGGTAAGTGGCTGTATTTTAAAAGTCAGCAGCTACAGTTTTTGTACCTGCTGACTTTTTTTTTTTTTAACTGGAACTCCGCTTTAAACTGAAAATAAGGCTGACCATACACTAAACAATTTGATTGTACAATGTCCTTTGTATCTATCATCAACTATGTCATAAAAGGGTCTTCCTAATTAGTTAATGGAATTGGTTGTGTAGGTTTTTTTCTCATTACACAGTTTCGGCAACTCTTAAAGTGGTTCTAAAACCTCAAGGTTTTTTACCTTAATGCATTCTATGTAAAAAAAAACCCTGACTCACCCCCTTTATAATTACCCGAGCCCCATCTCGATGCAGCACAAAATCTAGTGACAAGGGAGCAGGGGGCGGGGCTGAGCCACTCTGTCTATGTCAATAAATGCAGACAGGGAGGCTCGGGAGCAAGCTCACACAAGTGCCCCCATTTGAAAGCATCTTTCTATGGGGGCACTGGACAGGAGGGGGAGCCAGGAGCACCACAGTTGCTCTCCGCAAAACCACTGCAAAGAATTGCAAATGTTTATTATTTTATTTTAGAAAAAAAACTGAAGCTTTATTACTTCAAGCTCACTACTTTCCTCAATCTCTCTGTTCAAGAGTGGCTGCACATTGCATAGTTTAGGTAGGTCCTCATATTACATAGTTTTGGTAAAACTAAAGTTGATTGTGCAAAGATTGTATGATCAGATTTGAACATGTAAGCTGATTGTATAGTGTATGACCACGTTAGCTGGTTTGTTTTTTCATGTGACAGTTTAGTCCCCAGGACATCTGCTGTGCTCTCCTATATCAACTGTGAACAGCCAAATTACAGAACTTGAGCGCTAAAGCAGGCTAGAGATGGATCAAAATGCGGCCGGTTCAACAAGGATAATGATCGACTTCTCGCAAATTAGCTTTTTGGAAAATGTTTGTTTGATCAGTGCTGCAGCTTAATGATCAGTGTACTTTGAGAGAGGAGGAGTCCCTGCTGTGAGAACATAACACAGTGGGGAGGATTCCTTCATGTGGATGGGACAATGCGTTCATTTTTTTTTTTTTTCGATCTGCCTGCTGGTTCTGGGGAGCACATACGAAAAATCAAGACAGTTCCCAACCTACCTTTGCATCCCAGTTCTTGTTGAGGTAATAGATACAAGTAATGCAGCGTCCATCTTGTGTTGGATTATCTACATGTCGCACATAGCCAGCCCCATTGCCTGGATAACAAGCTACCATTGCCTGGAAAATAAAGATCGATTGTTCCTTTCATTTCCTAGAAATCACTGTTTATATGACACTTTACATGAACTACAAGTCTCAGCATGGCCTGCATTCTGGATAGCAGGCAGTCACCACAGGTTACCTAAAGCTAGTCTACACCATGGAAGGGATTTACCAATACAAAACAAACAGCAACCAGTTTTCTCGAACCATAGGCATCCCGTTTATGTAAATGTTTGACAGTTACGGTCTGTCTTGTAGAAAAGAAAAGTGAACTGTTAAACCCGTAATCCATGGGAACTGAACAGCTGTAAATGTTTTATTTTATCTTTGATGTCCTAGATAGAAATTCAGACACAAACAATTTTTAACTGTTTTTAGTACCGTAATGTCAAGAACAGCCTTTACATCTATGATGGAATAAAGCTCACCATACACTATACAATCTGATTGCTCAGATTTACCAACAACTATGTAGTGCAAAGACCTGAACGATTGGATACAAACTGATTGGTCTTTGTAGCACATGCTTTTGGTAAATCTAAAGTTGATTGTTATGGTCAGATTGTAACATGTAAGGTGACCCTATGGGGGTTATTTACTGAATATCTCTCAATTGGGGCTTCTGTGAATGTCTCAACAGTTTACGGAAAAGTGAACGACGTGCTTCACCACACTACTGCTTTAGTTATTGTAGCAGGGCAGGAGCTACAGAATCCTGTAATTAATGGGGCCAAAGCTTTCTGGATGAAGTTCAAGGCTCCTGTACAGTACGGCAGTGTAACAGGGAAAACAAAGTTCCATTATTGTCTTTACATGCTCATATAACCCAGCATGGAGCTGAGACAGCGAAATGTTATGGAACGGTTATTGCATTCGTCTCCCTTTCATTGGCTAGTCAATTAGATTGCAAGTGTACTCTAAAGCTGGTCATACACTTAGATTCAATTATTTGGATCAGTCATACACAGATGCTGAAAAACAGTTCATCAGAGCATTCTTTATTACCATCACTGAATCAACCCATTTCATTTGATAGCTTTTAACATTTCATCCAGACATGTTACTTGAATGGAATCCCAGATGTAATAAACGGGTTTCCTTACAAAATATACAATTTTTCCCCAAAAAACCCCACATTCACAGTTAGAATTTCATTTGGGAAAAAGTTTACATCCTGCTACTTTAATTTTTCATCACAGTGATGGGAAAAAGTCAATGTCAATCTGACCCCACTAACCATCAGATAATCTAAGGTTCCAAACAAGAAAAGTTCCAAACCAAATTCTACCAGTGCATGACTAGGTTTTAGTTGGGGATCCATGTAAAGAGAATTATTATTATTATACAGGATTTATATAGCACCAACCGTTTGCGCAGCGCTTTACAATATCAAGGGATACAATACAGTTCAATACAAGAGGGTTAGGAGGGCTCTGCTCCTTGGAGCTTACTGAATGTGAACAGTATTAGTAATCAGTTAGGGCAGAGTATTCAAAGACGGGGCAATACATAATCCAGCAAGTAGAGGAAAGGCAGTCCAATGTACAGATGTAGTAAGAGCAGGGCATGACAACACTAGGTTTGCAGAATACAATGGGTAACAGAGAACAGCAAGGTGTACGGAGAGACAAGGCTAAGGTCAATATCCAGAGTGGGCACAATTTGGAGTTCAAAAGACCAAACCAAGAGGGGTCCGGGTCATGGTATACCTAGTAGAACTTCAATACATTCAGCTGGACTTGTTGAAGTCATTTCCCAATTTATCCAAGCAATCTTTTCGGTTCTAAGACTCACAAACATAGCCCAGCATTTAAATCTAAACAGATAGCTTTGTTACCAAAATCCAAAATGGCTATAAATGTAGAGGGATGTTCCTGACAATCATTAGAAAAAAAGCAGTGGCTTGGATAAGCTGCAGAATGTCTTCAGCACAAGTCCAGCTAAATGTGACCAACCTTCACCAGCTGTACCATGACCTGAACCCCTCTCAGTATGTACCTACATCCAAAACAAATTCTATCCACTCTGATTAGTTACCTTTCGGTGAAACTTCCTCCATATTACAGTACAAGTCCGACTCAATGTGACTACGACTAGCTGTGGATACTTCACTAAAGTGGAAATACAGATGAAAGACAGAACACAGAAATACGGGAGTTACCCTGTTATATGAAAGCTTAAAGAGTATTCTAGTCAAAGCCGTTCTCGTTTTGGATAGAGCAGGAATGGTTAAGCCCTGACATATTTTTTTGCCGCTTGTGTACCATTGGAGGCATTCCCTTCACTTCTTGTCCTAGAGACACAGCTGGAAGTTAGAGGGAATCTCCCAAAGTCAAGTGTGTTCTTAGACAGTTGTCCCCAGAGCAAGTGTCCCCATCAGGTGTCCCATTATCTCTTTTTCTGGGGACAATACTAACATTTTAGATTTCACCACATTTTCTCTTGGTTTCCTGTACAGGCAGAGGTGAAATTTCCCCGAGGACATAGGTAGTAATTAGAACTTGACAGAAGATCCAACTCTTCCCCCAACTCTATCCAAAAATAGCAAGCTTTATTGTAGGTGGCATTTGTCCCCAAGTCAAGGGTCCGTTTACCTCTTGTTATGGGGAGAACTCTATATATTTAGATTTCCCCTCATTAATAAGAGTCAGCACTACAAATAAAGGGGTAAACCCCCAGCCAAAGGGGTTAAAGATTGCAATAAAATCTTGAAGGATAGTCTACCCAGTCCCCTATAAAAAAAAAAAAAAAAGGTTCTTCCTATATAGTTTAATGTGAGAATATGGCAAAGAAAGGCACATCAAAGCCATAGAGATTAAAGGGAAGCATTGTGAAAATAGGAGCATAATCCAGAATGTGCATTCCATTAATTTGGGAAGTAGAGGAAGTAAAATGCAGAGTCATCAGAAGGCCGAGGACAAACGAAGCAAAGGAAGGGGGTTAAAGACGGATGCAATGAGCATGGTATGGGTTCCTACTGGGAAGAGATTGAGGGAACAAATGAAGAAACAAGATCAAAGCAGACTTGAAGGCATAACATGACAACATGAACCAAGCAGACATATTAGAGCAAAAAAAAAAAAAAAAAAAAGTAAAATAAGCACCCAACAAGCCCAATACAAGACTAGGCCAGAAGAGTGGTGGATGACCACCTGAGTGGATGGTGAACAGAAGTCATGATGTGGTTTGGTATTTTTGTTTTGATTTGGCTTTTTCAAAACTGGATGACCATATAGAGAACTCCCCACAAAGACAGACGTGCAACAGGCGGGTGGGTGGGTGGCTAGGCTGTGGGGTGGCAGCCAGTATGAGGGTCTCACCTTGGACCTCTCCTTCACATAGTACTGGCCCAGATGGTTTCCACACAACACCACCAGCCGGTCGATCACCGAGAGGACCAGCCCGATGGCCTCACATCCCTCTTCGGTTCCGGCGATCCAGGCGATCTTGTCCCCCCGAAGGTGCTTCTTGGAGACGCCTCGGAGGTTCCCCGCTAGCTGGCCATCCTTCAGGGCCCCTTCCTGGTGCAGGTGTCTGACCTGGGCCAGGACCTGATCCCCCAACTCCTCTCCCAAGATGTTGTCCAGGTAACAGTAGCCAGCTGAACGCAGGCGGGGCGCGATGTGCTCCAAGGCCAGCTTCTCAAGGTCCACCGAGGGGCTATGCTTGAGGGGCATGGTGGGGAAAGGTGATGAGGAGGTCAGGTTACAGGTTCTCTAAGACCATTGTACCAGAGGAAGAGCTTCACCTCACTGACAGCCAGTGTGACACAAGGAACGTCCATGGGCCCCACAATGTAACAGCGTTGTCAGTGCAATGACTAGAGGCCAGCCTTCTACCTAGAGCTCTATGTATGTGCTGTAACTGGTCACCTCCTAGAAGGCACCGGCTACGTGTCTGTATATACAGCTCCCAGCCCCCGCCAGTCCTATACAACTCTGTACGTGCAGAATGAGCGATTTCCACTAGGCGGGCGGGGCTCGTTCTCGTAGTTTAAAGCCGACAACCACGCCCAGAGGTCCTGAGCCAATCACGGCACTCGGCGGGCGTTGTCTGTTCTCTAGCAGGGAATGAACCGGGACGCACGTGCTCAGGGGATACAAGTATAGGAAGTCGGATTGGCTCAGGTGGCCGTGGGTGGAAGCTGGTTACTAGGAGACGGCGTCCTAGGGGGCGTGCCAGCCGCCATTGAGGAATTCTGGCTGTGCATGTAGCCTGTGACTGAGCAGTGCTGAGTGTAGTAAACAGAGCGGGCGGAGGGAAGACAGAGAGAGAGAGTACAGAGGGGGAGGAAGATGAGGGGTGCGCAGGAAGAGGATGTGGGGGACAGTGTATTGGAGGGGGAGAGAGAAAACGTATAGAGGGAGGGGGTGAGGATGGGAATGTCAGTATAATGTGGGGGGAGGGGGACATTATAATGGAGGTGAGAGGATGTATGTGGGGGAAGGAGGGGGACATTAAATGGAGGTGAGAGAGAGGCTGTATGGGGGGGTGAGGATTAGAAGGTCAGTATAATGGGGGAGGGGGACATTATAATGGAGGTGAGAGACGATGTATAGTGGGGGGAGGGGGACATTATAATGGAGGTGAGAGAGAGAATGTAGATGGGAGGAGGGGGACATTATAATGGAGGTGAAAGAGAGAATGTATAGGGGGGAGGGGGACATTATAATGGAGGTGAGAGAGGATGTATAGGGGGGGAAGGAGGGGGAGATTATAATGGAGGTGAGAGAGGATGTATAGGGGGGGGCGAAGGAGAGGTACATTATAATGGAGGTGAGAGAGAGGATGCATAGGGGAGGGGGGACATTATAATGGAGGTGAGAGAGAGGATGTATAGGGGGGGGGAAGGAGGGGGACATTATAATGGAGGTGAGAGAGAGGATGTATAGGGGCGGGGGGGGAGGAGGGGGACATTATAATAAAGGTGAGAGAGGATGTATAGGGGGGGAAGGAGGGGGACATTATAATGGAGGTGAGAGAGGATGTATAGGGGTGGGTGGGGGGAGGAGGGGGACATTATAATGGGGGTGGGTGGGGGGAGGAGGGGGGACATTATAATGGGGGTGAGAGAGGATGTATGGGGAGGGGGACATTATAATGGAGGTGAGAGGGAGGATGTATAGGGGGGGGCGAAGGAGGGGTACATTATAATGGAGGTGAGAGAGAGGTTGCATAGGGGCGGGTGGGGGGAGGAGGGGGACATTATAATGGAGGTGAGAGAGAGGATGTATAGGGGGGGGAAGGAGGGGGACATTATAATGGAGGTGAGAGAGAGGATGTATAGGGGCGGGTGGGGGGGAGGAGGGGGGACATTATAATGGAGGTGAGAGAGGGATGTATAGGGGGGAAGGAGAGGGACATTATAATGGAGGTGAGAGAGGATGTATGGGGGGGGGGAGGAGGGGGACATTATAATGGAGGTGAGAGAGAGGATATATAGAGGGCGGAAGGAGGGGGACATAATGGAGGTGAGAGAGGATGTATGGGGGGGGGGGGGGACATTATAATGGAGGTGACAGAGGATGTATAGGGGGGGCGAAGGAGGGGGACATTATAATGGAGGTGAGAGAGAGGATGTATGGGGGGGGGGAGGAAGGAGGGGGACATTATAAATGGAGGTGAGAGAGGATGTATGGGGGAGGGAAGGAGGGGGACATTATAATGGAGGTGAGAGAGGATGTATGGAGGGTGGGGGAAGGAGAGGGACATTATAATGGAGGCGAGAGAGAGGATGTAAAGAGGGGAGGGGGACATTATAACGGAGGTGAGAGAGAGGATGTAGAGGGGCGGGTGGGGGGAGGAGGGGGAGATTATAATGGAGGTGACAGAGAGGATGTAGAGGGGGGGGTGGGGGGAAGAGGGGGGACAATATAATGGAGGTCAGAGAGGATGTATAGGGGGGGGGGGGGGACATTATAATGGAGGTGAGAGAGAGGATGTATGGGGGGGTGAGGGAAGGAGGGGGGGGCATTATAATGGAGGTGAGAGAGAGGATGTATAGGGGGGGAAGGAGGGGGACATTATAATGGAGGTTAGAGAGAGGATGTATGGGGGGGAGGAAGGAGGGGGACATTATAATGGAGGTGAGAGAGGATGTATGGAGCGTGGGGGAAGGAGGGGGACATTATAATGGAGGCGAGAGAGAGGATGTAAAGAGGGGAGGAAAAACATTATAACGGAGGTGAGAGAGAGGATGTATAGGGGGGGAAGGAGGGGGACATTATAATGGAGGTGAGAGAGAGGATGTAGAGGGGCGGGTGGGGGAAGAGGGGGACAATATAATGGAGGTGAGTGAGGATGTATGGGGGGGGGGAGGGGGACATTATAATGGAGGTGAGAGAGGATGTATGGAGGGTGGGGGAAGGAGAGGGACATTATAATGGAGGCGAGAGAGAGGATGTAAAGAGGGGAGGGGGACATATAACGGAGGTGAGAGAGAGGATGTAGAGGGGGGGGTGGGGGGATTGGAGGGGGAGATTATAATGGAGGTGACAGAGAGGATGTAGAGGGGCGGGTGGGGGGGAGAGGGGGGACAATATAATGGAGGTCAGAGAGGATGTATAGGGGGGGGGGGGGGGGGATTATAATGGAGGTGAGAGAGAGGATGTATGGGGGGGTGAGGGAAGGAGGGGGGGGACATTATAATGGAGGCGAGAGAGAGGAGGATGTAAAGAGGGGAGGGAAACATTATAACGGAGGTGAGAGAGAGGATGTATAGGGGGGGAAGGAGGGGGGACATTATAATGGAGGTGAGAGAGAGGATGTAGAGGGGCGGGTGGGGGGGAAGAGGGGGACAATATAATGGAGGTGAGTGAGGATGTATGGGGGGGGGAGGGGGACATTATAATGGAGGTGAGAGAGGATGTATGGAGGAAATTGGGGAAGGAGAGGGACATTATAATGGAGGCGAGAGAGGAGGATGTAAAGAGGGGAGGGGGACATTATAACGGAGGTGAGAGAGAGGATGTAGAGGGGCGGGTGGGGGGAGGAGGGGGGAGATTATAATGGAGGTGACAGAGAGAGGATGTAGAGGGGCGGGTGGGGGGGGGGGGGAAGAGGGGGACAATATAATGGAGGTCAGAGAGGATGTATAGGGGGGGGGGGACATTATAATGGAGGTGAGAGAGAGAGGATTGTATGGGGGGAGGGAGGGAAGGAGGGGGGCATTATAATGGAGGTGAGAGAGGGGAGGAGGATGTATAGGGGGGGGAAGGAGGGGGACATTATAATGGAGGTTAGAGAGAGAGGATGTATGGGGGGGAGGAAGGAGGGGGACATTATAATGGAGGTGAGAGAGAGGATGTATGGAGCGTTGGGGGAAGGAGGGGGACATTATAATGTGGAGGGAGAGAGAGGATGTAGAGGGGGGGGGAAAACATTATAACGGAGGTGAGAGAGAGGATGTAGAGGGGGGGAAGGAGGGGGACATTATAATGGAGGTGAGAGAGAGAATGTAGAGGGGGGGGTAGGGGGGAAGGGGGAAGAGGGGGACAATATAATGGAGGTGAGTGAGGATGTATGGGGGGGGGAAAGGGGAGGATTATAATGGAGGTGAGAGAGGAGGATGTATTGAGGGGAGGGTGGGGGGAGGGAGGGGGAATTATAATGGAAAGGGGAGAGAGGATGGATGGGGAGGGGGACATTATAATGGAGGTGAGAGGGAGAGGATGTATATGGGGGGGCGAAGGAAAAAGGTGTAATTATAATGGAGTGAGAGAGAGAGTGTTGCATAGGGGCGGGTGGTGGGGGGGGAGGGGGGAGGGATAATGGAGGTGATGAAGAGGATGTTTAGGGGGGGGGGAAGGAGGGGGACATTATAATGGAGGTGAGAGAGAGGATGTATAGGGGCGGGTGGGGGGAGGAGGGGGGGACATTATAATGGAGGTGAGAGAAGATGGGGGGGGGAAGGAGAGGGACATTATAAATAGGAGGTGAGAGGGGATGTATGGGGGGGGGAGGGGGACATTATAATGGAGGGGAGAGAGAGTATATAGATAGAGGATAGAGGAAGGAAGGGGGAAAAAATAATGGGTAGGGAATGAGAGAGGGATGATGGGGGGGGGGGGGTTGGACATTATAATGGAGGTGAAGAGGATGTATAGGGGGGGAAGGAGGGGGACATTATAATGGAGAGTTGAGAGAGAGGATGTATGGGGGGGGGGGAAGGAGGGGGACATTATAATGGAGGTGAGAGAGAGGAGATATGGGGGGGGGGGAGGAAGGAGGGGGAAAAGAATGGGGGAGATATTGGAGGATGTTAGGGTGAAAAAGGAGGGAAGGAGGGAGGAGGGAATGAATAATGGGGGTGAGAGAGGGATGGGGGGGGGGGAATAGGGGAAAAGGGGGGGGGTTATTATAAAAGGCGAGAGAGAGGATGTAAAGAGGGGAGGGGGACATTATAACGGAGGTGAGAGAGAGGGGTATAGGGGGGGAGGGGGGGATAGGGGGAAATGATTATAATGGAGGTGAGGAAAGGATGTAGAGGGGCGGGTGGGGGGGAATTAAAGAGGGGGACAATATAATGGAGGTGAGAGAGGATGTATAGGGGGGGGGGGGGGGACATTATAATGGAGGTGAGAGAGAGGATGTATGGGGGGGTGAGGGAAGGAGGGGGGGGGCATTATAATGGAGGTTAGAGAGAGGATGTATAGGGGGGGAAGGAGGGGGACATTAT